ATGCTTCCACTGATTCCAACTTTAAGTGGGACGTTGTCAATTCCTTCCTACAGAAAGCTTTGCTTGCTAAAGGTGCTAGTTGGGGCGCAGGTACAAGAAGTAGGGGCACCGAGCCTGTCTTCGTTTCCAAGTCTATTGCCCCCAAACAGCTTTCCAATCATTGTGCGGCTAATAAACACAGCAACCAGTTGTCCCGCCTTATCGGCCGATTGAATGAACTCTTTGTACGGCTTTCACGAGAGGCAGGCACGGCTCAAGATTCGTTTGTTACACAACGTACTGCAGACAGGGTTGCGCGGCAACTTCAGGCCTTCTCTGCCCCAGTTTCTTGGCCGACACATGTCCTCCCCTCCCTGGTTGAAGTGCATTTTGCCAAGACTTGGGCCGACATGGCTTTAAAGACATATGATTTGCAGCTGCGCACTAAGCGAATCAAATCCTGGAAAAACAGAATCAGAAACTCCGCTTCACATGGTTGTGCGTATATTTTTCATCATTTGAAAAATAAACAGCTTGACGAACCCACGAATCTTGTTGTTGACGAGTCTCAAAACATCATCTACCAGCCTAACAAGGCCCTCGAATTTTTGAACAGTGAATGGGATCAAGTCTATAGCGCCAACACACTGCGCCATCATCCACTCAAGATGTTAGACACTGTGTGGCCTTACATCCATGACAAGCAGAAGGAAGCCGTTGTTCCATCCATTTGCGGGCTTGACCTATACCATATTATCCAAAAACGAAAGCCTTGTGCGGCTCCGGGCCTCGATGGCTGGCGAACTGCTGAGCTCCAACGGCTCTCGCCGTCCGACCTCCAGCCGTGTGCGGAATTCTTTCAGCACATCGAAGAGTCGTCCTTCCCGCTGCCTCGGTCACTCGTTTGCGCGAAGCAGGCCATCCTGAACAAACCTGGTCCCGCTACGGCACTTAATAAGAGGCTGATCGCAATCCTCCCAGCCCTTCTTCTAGCTTACACAGGGGCTAGATTTGCACAGTTGCAATCATGGCAACAGGATGTCATGCCCCATTCGATTCTAGGAGGAATTAAGGGACGTTTCATGTCTGACCTTTATAACCAGATTCGCCTTGACATTGATGATGCAAAGGCCCATGACCACACCTTGATTGGTCTCAAATTAGACAAAGCAAAGGCAATCGATAGAGTCGTGCCAACTTTCGTCGCGGCCCTTTTTCTGGCTTTCGGAATTCCTAAGGGGATTGCAAACTTTTTCGTTAAGATCTATGATGGCCTTCATCGGCATCTTTCTTACCGTAACTGGTGTTCCCCGAAAGCAACTACTGCATCAAACGGTGTTTGCCAGGGATGTTCTTTGTCGCTTCTTGCCATGAACATGTACACCAAAGTCTGGTGCCACCTCTTAGAGCACTTCCCTGAAATTTCGGCCAGAGCATACATTGACGATTCGTACTTGTGGTGTAGGCTTCAGCATTCCGCGGTGCTTAGCAAGGCTGTCGAACTCACCAAGGTGTGGGACCTTCGAAGTGGTCAAAAACTTAATGAAGGCAAATCCTCGGCCTGGGGAACGTCAACGGAAGCTAGGAAGGTCCTTAAATCCACCTTCCCTGATGTTCCGATCGTGTTGGAACTCGCTGTCCTTGGGACCATCATTTATACTTCCGAACGGTCGAATTTTTGCTTTTCTGAGGCCAGGCTCAAGAAGATTCTAGATGACACCGACAACATCGCAGCGCTGCCTGTTGGGAAATCTGTCAGAAGCTTTTTGATAGGAGCCAAGATTATTCCCCAAATGTCTTTTGGGGCTCATATCACTAAGATCACTCAGCAATCTCTGAAAAAGATTCAAAACGCTGTGGCCAAAGCCCTTTGGGTCGGTCAGCCAATGTGGAGGTCCAAACAACTCCTCCATGTCATTCTCTCGAAACCTCATCGAACCGACCCTTTGACCGCTGGCGCTTACAACACTGTGCTCGAGGTTGTGCGGCTTTGTCATAATTCACCAAGTGCAATTCCACAAGTCCTGAATACATGGAACCAACCTACTGGTAACCATAGTCTTGCCGAAAGCCTCAAGGCTGCTTTCGAGTTTCTTGGGATTGATTACGACAGTGACATCAACATTTCGTTCATGAACTCCCCGCCGGTCTCCATTTTCGACCTGTCTCCAAAGTGTATTTCGAAACCGTTGCAAAATATCGCCCGGCACGCGTGTTACTGTTCCATTGACCCAATCCAGAAAGGACTTTCGGAAACCCAGTGGGATTTTTGACTTTCAACAATCCACACGCCCTCTGTTTTCGCGTAACCCCCGATAGCAAGTCGGGTCCGACCAAATCCTTCGGCTAGAAAATGTGTTAGTTGGATGCACACTTACCAACGACCGCCTAGCCGCCTCAGGATGGGTCACTTCGGCCAGTTGCAGATTCTGTGAACAGGAGAAAGAGAGCTTGGCTCATTTGCTTCAATGCCCAAAGGTGTGGGAACTGCTGGGAGAGCCTTTGATCCATGATTTCGGAAGCAATTTCGCTATGCTTGGGCATTTGTTGCACCCGAACTTTATAGCCAAGCGTCGACTCCAATGTTCCAGCATTGAATCCATCACCTTGGCCTCCTCTTTCTCCATGCATCATCAGGAGAGACTGTGGACCGACGGTTCAATGTTATATGCAGAAAACTTCTGGATTACTAATGCGACTTTCGCCATTCTAGATGAATCACAGAAGATCCGCCACAAAGGCTTGGTACAGCGCTGGAACCTTTCGTCGTACGCAGCCGAATTGTGGGCTGTCCTGGTTGCGTGTGCTCAAGCTTCCTTCCCCACGACGATCTATTGTGACTGTTTGAGTGTTGTGGAGCAAGCGCAGAGTATTTTTGCTGGAAACCAACCACACAGCACGTGGTCACATAGACGATGGTGGACCTTTTTACACCACCTTGTTTGTCGGCGAAAAGAAGTCTGTGATGAACCTTTTCGAATTTCTTGGATTCCAGCTCATTGCTTTGAAGGTATTCCAATTGAGCTCATCTCAGAGGACCTCGCCGCTCTCAAGGGCACCACGACAGAACACATCTGGCACAACAGGCTCGTTGATGCTGCGGCAAAGGAATTTGCCCATCGCACAGCTTCCGTGCATCCAGACACGCAAAAGTTGGTTCAGAATGCCATATTCCAACATCAACGATGGTTGATAGCGCTCCATTCGTTGCTGCCAACAGATCAACCTGACAGGGCTACAAATCAAACCTCACAGAGTGTTGAACCACATTGTACACTTGACGCATGCCGCAAGAGATTTCCTACCTGGCCGTGGCACACTTTATCAGCTGATGTTTACACATGGAAACCGAAGATCCCTGCTGGCTTACAGTGCCCTTCCAAATGGGCAGGTCCCGAAGATGATTGGCACGCGTGCGTAAATTTCTTGCGCACTTTGAGATGGCATGTTGCTGAAGATCAATCGTATTCTTTCAACGAACTTGCTGTAGCTTTTCATTGTTCGGGGTTCAAGTTGCAAAAAGACACAGATTTGGTGACGTTCCTCGACATCTACCGTGCCATTCGGGGAGTTCTCCAGATTCTGTCGAAAGATGACTCGGTCGATGCACATCCTGGTATTTTCCATACCACCAAACCAAGGGCATGTGGACGCATCCTGCCTCAAGGATGCATCATTGGGGCCATCCCCCTCGTTTCGGACAAAGTTCGAATGTGCATTGCCTCACTTTTCTCTCTTGGCGCAGGGCGAACCCTGTCGTCCTGGGAGATCTCTGTGCATTGTTGCTGATTGTTTGCATGCTTTTGGGGTTGTTGCTTTTGTGCATAGACCAGTGTGTCCAGCACAAGGCGGGCACCATTTCACGGTGATCGTCCGCTGCGAGTGATAGTTACTAGTAGTAAGGCCAGGAGCCCCTAGCAGTGTTCTCCTAGTAGCAATGCCCTTTGCTACTAGTAGCTTCTTGTTACTAGTAGTAAGGCCAGGAGCCCCTCGTAGCGTTCTTGCTCCTAGTAGTGATGCCCTTTGCTACTAGTAGCTTCTTGTTACTAGTAGTAAGGCCAGGAGCCCCTAGCAGCGTTCTTGCTCCTAATAGCGATGCCCTTTGCTACTAGGAGCTTCTTGTTACTAGTAGTAAGGCCAGGAGCCCCTAGTAGCGTTCTTGCTCCTAGTAGCGATGCCCTTTGCTACTAGTAGCTTCTTGTTACTAGTAGTAAGGCCAGGAGCCCCTAGTGGCGTCCTTGCTCTTAGTAGCGATGCCCTTTGCTACTAGCAGCTTCTTGTTACTAGTATATAAGGCCAGGAGCGCCTAGTAGCGTTCTTGCTCCTAGCAGCAATGCCCTTTGCTACTAGTAGCTTCTTGTTACTAGTAGTAAGGCCAGGAGCCCCTAGTAGCGTTCTTGCTCCTAATAGCGATGCCCTTTGCTACTAGTAGCTTCTTGTTACTAGTAGTAAGGCCAGGAGCCCCTAGTAGCTTTCTTGCTCCTAGTAGCGATGCCCTTTGCTACTAGTAGCTTCTTGTTACTAGTAGTAAGGCCAGGAGCCCCTAGTAGCGTCCTTGCTCTTAGTAGCGATGCCCTTTGCTCCTCGTAGCGTTCTGTACACAGACTTCCTTTCCTTCTTCCTTGTTTCCGTCCTGCTTCGCTCCCTCCGCCCTCTTCCCTCCTTCCTCCCTCTGCCGTAAACGAAATATCTCACAAAGAACGTGTTGTCCTCGTCCTTTGTGCCCTTGATGAATCCAGTCTGGCAGCGTAAGGCGGTGGTGGTTGAACATGTCCGCGAGTGGTGCTTTGCACGTCTTGCCTCTTCGTCTGTGCTTGCCATACCAAGCACCTGAGAGACGCAAAACCTGGGCCTGTGGACAAACAGCTCTGCGATGCTTCTCCCAAGACTTGTTGATCAAGCTCGGCTCAGCACAGTGGGCTGCACGACGATGTACCCTCTTCCAAAAGGAAACAAATAAAACCAACCAGCAAAAATGTTATTTTGGCGGCTTTAGCCTAAATGGCAAGGCAGCCGAGACAGCAGCAAATTGTGAAGCTATGAGCCATAGTCATAGTGATGATAAGTAAGAAGTTGCGTGCGTCTGTGGGAAGCCACGCTGCATTTGTGTCTTGCGTTCCAATTCATCTTTTCGCAGGCTGTCTTGGACAAGCCTTTATGAACAGAACTGTTCCATTCAACAGACTTCTGAAGGTGGCCTGCACAAACCACTAGCAGGTTTGGATATCAATACTGCAAACTTGCTGAACGAAGGCAGTTCTTTGCATGTAGAGAACGCTCAGTCGACTGAGCGTATTGATATCCTCAGCCGTCCTTCCTATGAGTGGGATTCAGTACCTTCACAACCGCCCGACCCCAAGCCTCGGTGCAAAACTAAGTCGAGCCCTTCAGTGATGTGTGGCGACTAAGCCCTCTACATCTTTAGTGAACATGACCTTGTCTTTATGAAATGATCGACCTGGGAACAATTTGAGCTTCCACGTCCAAGTATCTACGTCTTGCAGTTGACCTCTGAGAACAAGGCGCTCATCTTTTGAGAGAGCATGAGCCTTCTCTTCCTTTTTCCGATCTTTGGTTTCATCTTCGATGATGATCCTTGGCTTTGTACCTTCTGCTTCTGCTTCTTTTGCCTCAAGCAACGCATTAGAACAACAACAACTTGAAATGCAATGATACAGTTGCATGCTCATGCTCATGGCAGCCGAGATTCTGTGCCCGGTGTGGCAGGTCTGCCTTCTTCTGCTGGCGTTTCATGCTCCACAATCTGTGTGAGTTCCATCAGGATCATTCAGAATCTGACTTCTTTGAACCAATCCTCTACGCTAAGTGCGTCAGCCACTACAGCCCCTGCCTGAAAAACAGCGTTAAATCGAGACCTTGGAGCAACGACTGGTCGACATTCGCCCTAAAGTCGGAAGAAGCTGAGCCAGCGAGCTTGAATCTGCCAGTTGGAAAGTTCAGCTGTGCTGTTCTCGCACCTAGGATCCAGAACGTTCCAAGAAACAACCCTGCTATTTAGCAAATCAGTATGCATAATGTCAAATTCACAACTTCACGGCCAAAACACGGGAGTCATCATCAGAGTAGTACGAGTACTCGTCATCATCCTCCAATGTAGGGTCATCATAGTTCAATCACAGCATGATCTTGGGTCCTCGTATTCGTCATCCCATCCTGGGGCCACGCTTTGCCATGCGCATGGCTGTCACACAGTTGCACCGAGGTAGGGGCCAAATGAGCCCGGTAGTGCCTTAGTTTTCCAGTCCTAGTTGCATCTTGACTCTATCATGCTCGACTCTATCCAACAAAACAACAAAGTAAGGGTTCTTTCAGGAAGCTAGCTTTGACTTTTTTGAACAGCTTCCTGCATGACAAGGACGTGCATCAGCACTTGATTTCAGTGCAGCATGTGTCAGGTCAAGCGACGTTTGGCCCCAAAGTCCTTGCATTCGATGCAGCTTGCCTGGCAAATAAGACTTCTGCAAAGCCATGTCGCGTCTGATCAGGCCGTTAGACCATCAGGAGTTTGATGAATCCTACAAATGGGACACAAACCGAAACCTATGCCTGTTGCAAGCTCCAAAAACGCAAAGGCAAATAAAGATCGAAGTACGACCAGGAACAGGGTAGCAGGGTTGAAAAGGGTCCAAAGTTCCTTTGTGTTTATTCCTGTCCAGCAATGACGTAATTAATAAATTTGTTTTTCTTGTTTTGGAGTGTTAGGATTCCCGTGACACTAGGAGATCTGCACTGGGAGGATTCCACAACAATTCTACTTGTCTTGACAAAAGTTGCTTGTGAACACAGGCCGGGTGCAACGCAGCCGCAGCTTCAGCAATTTGTTTGCTGGCGATTCGGGATTTTGACCTCGGCTCAATTTAATTTATGCCTCTCAAATTGAAATAGCACAATGTCCACTCAACTATGGCGTCTATTACCAGCCACCACTAACTACCACTCGTATGCTTGGTCCTGAACCTCCTTTCTCGATCCTGGTCCGTTTCAATGCCCGTTTATGATCTTCGCATGACACGAATGAATAATGACCTCCTCCACCAGTGTCTTCATCTTCTTTGCCGCCAGGTTCTCATCCAGGCTGTCTGCAGCTAATTGTTCCTTCGGACTCCCACTTTGTTTGTTCATGCTGATACGTATCGAGTGAGCTTGTAATGACTTTGCCTCCACCGTTGCAGCAACATTCCAGCGCTCCACAGTGAAGCGGACAGGCGGTCGATTGCGCTCAACCTGCCGAAGCCACAAATCGCGAGGGCGGCCACTTGGCAATGCGGCCTACGTGAACCGAACTCCCAACCAATCTATCTACTGATTTATCTGCCTATATTTCCATTTTTTGAACTTGGTCATTAGGAAAGTCATGAAAGTAAGTCGTCTTGGCAGTGAGAGCAAGCAAATCCAATCTGCTTCCAAAAAGGCGTCCCCGAGGGCATTGTTGCTGGGACCGACGAGGGCAAAACACACCTTACATCTCTGGTCACTTAGCTACTGACCACCAGAAACAAAAGCACGCAAGAACACTCTGTCTCTGTCTCTAGATCCATACACTTATTGTTCTCCCCTAATTTGTTGCTTTAGACCTTTAGACCATTTGTCTTTTTCACTACCTCTTCTTCACTACTTCTTGCTAGTTGCAACAAGAACGCTTCCCTCTCTCTCTCTCTCTTGAAAGCATGGTCAGGCGTGAGATCTGAGTCATGTCTCTGGAGATCGGTCTCGCCAGTCTCCGTGTTCGAGCGGACAACAAGCAATCGCTCTTTGGCAAGACTGAGCAAGGTCTACCTGAATGCGGTCCCAAAGTTCTTCAAAGGTATTCACCTTAATGAAGACACAATAATCATCAGCCGATGACTCAGGTTTCTAGGATTTGACAAACTGCAAAGTGTGACAGTTCATCAAGGAAAAAGAATGAGGTTCTGAGCCGTGTACTGGCTGGCCAGCTATATCAACAATGATGTCACCCACCTCCAAGCACTGAGGACAACCACACGAGTAAGTAACTTAATTTCACAAACTCTATACAATCGATGTATTTTTTTGCTTGATGTATTCTTCTTCCGACACAAGTTTGCCAAGAGTGCAGTGAGTCTTGCGTGTGACACTCTGCCTGCCATCCATGCTTTGCGCCCCATGGATGTACCTGGCCGGCTTTCTTCTTGCGTGACTTTGCATCCGCCACATGCTTTGCATCGTGCTTTGCATCAATTGCTCCTAGTAAGGCCAGGAGCCCCTAGTAGCTTCTTGCTCCTAGTAGCGATGCCCTTTGCTCCTGGTAGCGAACATAGCTTCATGCTTGGATTTTTTGAACCAAATTCACTCATCTTTCAGTCGAGCTCAATGGTCCCAAAATGTCCCTTGTGCATCAAGGATACTCGAACGACTCGCAACTCGACCAGCTCCAGGCCCAAAGGACGTGTATCTGGCAATTCCTTGGAAGGAAGAAGATCGTCTTCAAACCCAGAAAGGGAGAAAGGAGTGGAAATGTGAAGGCTTTTTCGCCAGCAATGAACTGTAAACATGACCAAAAGAGCCTTTGCAATACTTTGTAATGCGTAGATCCAAGTGCGTCGATCCCAGATTCAGATGAATCCCTGCACCGAAAAATTGACAAGCCAAGGCTGCAACGCTCATGATGATACACACTCGGGGCCTGAGTAGCTAAGATGGTGCTGACTGCTACGCAGATTTCTTGGCAACTACGAGCCCCACTTTGTTTCCTTCCTTTCCCGATTCTCTGCTTTGTATGCTTTGAAGAAGCCAAACTTGTCCAGCTTCATGCCCTCACAGGGTTCTGACATGTTCTGAAAGCACACATGTCACACATGTGATCATATGTGTTTTAGAAAGAACAACACAATAGCCCTCCTCAAAAACATGACAGAATGACCATAGCAGTGTCCAGGGTCTCGTCATCTTCAGCTTGAACTTCCCGGCCTTTACCTGCCATGAAGTGAGCCAACTCCCAGTGAAACCCTATGCTGCACAACTCCTCAAACTTGCTCCACCGATACACTGTCGTAAACTAATTTGAAAAGCAATGAACCAGAAAACAAGGCGCCTTTAAACCTGCTAAAATGCAAACGAACATTGCACTGTTTCTCTATGTGTCTGCATATCACGTAATTCAATTTCTGTCCATGAAAGAAGACTCGCGTAGACTCGCTGGATTTACAGCGGACATAGCAGTAGAAGGCGAGACCTCGAGGGCATCTTGACATCAAAGGGATGCTACAATGCTCTCCAACCTACAACCTATACAATTTAGCAGCCGTGGCCTCCAAGCGCATAGCGATGGCCACCAAAGGGATGCTACAATGCTCTGCGTTTACACTCACTGAGACACTGAGACGCTTGCCACCAGCTAGAGGCACCAAGACCAGCAACCAAATCCAACTTCCTCTCGATTTGTCAGAATGACATTGCATCAAAACATCATTGAGGATTTGATTATCTGTGGCAACTTGTTCTTGTATATATAAGTGTTCAGGAATATGTCCTTGAGGGAGTCGAAGCTCAAATTGTCCTTCGTCATCACCACCAGTCCTGCCTGAGTGAATTTCATGAAGCAAACTGGGACTGCAAACGCAATTCACTAAAACTTGTGCCTGCTGGGGTGGTTGTTGCTGAAGTTGTCGTATCCTGGATGTACACGATCTCCCGTTGAAGTACGACTGGGCAACCCTCAGCTGAAACAACAACTCTTTTGCTGTGACTGTCTGCCCTCCCACACTCTAGCCTGAATTGATTGCTGCTGCTCAGATGTGAATATCTTATCCCACGATGGTTTGATTCCTTGTTGGGTATTCCGGACGACTACTTTACTGTAGAGCTTCAAGCATCTTCGAGAAGTAGACCAAACCACCCAACAACTGGGCATGAGTCCGCAAATAAAGCAATGGCAACCAACATGGCAAACTCACCAACAAGTGTTGTCTTTTCCAGACTGTGCTGCTTTGAAGCAGGAGCCTTCTCAATGTGCCATGCAGCACGGCAACGTCGGCATAGCACATGTGCCCACGTCAAGCAGCACACTACCGGACCAAGCAACAAGCGGGGAGCCTGCTCCGGAACCCGCCCTGCCAGCATATCAGCGCGACATGACCTGACGTCAGTATTGCGCAACAACGCATCAGCACGTTAGCGTGACCTGCGTTTGTGCGCCAGCACGACAGCATGGTAGGCGACACCATGCCAGCACATCAGCGTGACACCATGTTATCGTGCCTACACCTCCGCCTGACAGGCCAACATGAAACCATGGCAGCATATCGGCATGACAACACTTCAGCATGTCAGCAAACACAGCACGTCAGCATGACCGCGCAATTGCAAGTTAGCATGACAGAGTGACAACATGTTAGCGTGACAATGTGCGAGCATGATGACATCCCAGCATCATGGAGGGACAATATTAGCCCAGCTCTGGAACCTGGTCCAGAACTTGCTCTCGAACCTGCTCCCAAGTCTTTACCATGGAAGACCCCTAAGACTTTGCTGTTGGGGAATCAAAGAGGTTTAGGCCTTAGAAAAGAGATAAACAATGGCCTTGACATCCTTTCTTCATCTTTTTTCCTCTTGATCCTGATTTTGTATTTCTTTACAACTTCTTCAAAATATTATTCATATTGTCTGATCGACTCTCTCTCTCTCAGTTGTTCTTAACTTGAGGTTGTGTAAAACCCCCCTACCTTTCCCTATACCACTTTTGAGGTTATCTTTTTTTCTTCCTTATCGTTTTACAGCACTTTGCATAACTGCAACACATGTAGTAACAGTATAATTTAGGTACAATGTGATGTAGTGTGTGCACTACATGCTTGTGGTGTATGGAACCTTGCAGATATGAAGACATTAGGCACACTTCATTCCAACTACACCCATGTGGTGGCCTGCCTACGGAAAGGTGTTTCAGGCTCGATGTGTTATCGTTTTTGTTATCGTTTTCATGCCTTGTGCAAGTTGGAAAACCATGTGGCACGACAATGCTGCAGCACAAGGCTACAGCGGACCAAGCCCTTCCACCTCTGTCCAAGCATATACCACGTCTCGCATGTCAAGGGTTTTGCACAAGAGTCATCGGGGTTATCGTTTTTTTGCTTCCTTATCGTTTTAGAGGGGATTGAACATGCTTTCAGAAAAACGGACATGCGAATATTAATTTCTTACATGGGGGGGTTTTATACTCTCTCACTTGTCTCTGGGAGACTGGCTCGAGCAGTGCACTCCCCTTCCTGCAAACAAGTCTGTACCGTGTGACTGAAGCACCGGAACAAATTCACCAACAGGACCAATACACCTGTGACAAGCGTTGGACAAAAACTGTTCATCTCAAGCTATGATCATCTTTTTACATCCACCTGAACCCACCTAGACTGGCCATCGCTACTAGGGTGAAGGCCATCGCTACTTGGAACAAGAAGCTACTACTAGCTCCTGGGATTACTACTAGGAACAAGTGCATCGCTTCTAGTAACAAGTGCCTTACTAGTAGTAACAAGAAGCTAGTAGAAACAAGTGCCTTACTACTAGGAGCAAGGACGCTACTAGGAACATCTAGGAACTACTGTACTAGTACCTGTTCAAAGAAGTTCAGCATTTCGGAACCGGTCCCCTCTGCAGCAGTACTCGGTGATGCCGGAGCACAATGTATCGCACCTAAGGAGTGAGCGGGAACCAACTGATTTCCAATCAGGATACTTCAGTGTCTGCAGTGATGCACATTTCTGGACACCATTTTGCTCGTACATCTGCTGCCAAGGCACATCACTGGAAACTGTGCTGGGCACTTGGCTCTTCCACGATGGTTTTCGCAGCAATACCACCTGCAGCGTGACCGTGAAAACCCTGTAAACATCTGTTCTTTTCTTATCAAACATGCCATCGGGTTTGTCAGGACACTGATTTCATCCCAAAGTCCATTGCAAACCCATTAGGTGAAGGCGCCAACTTGGAATCTTTCAACCTTTCTTTCCTTTCAGTTGAGGGACCCCTCAGTGACGACGTTGCAGCGATGTCCATTGAGACCTCGGTCCCGCATGACAAGTCGTTCAGCGTGACTCTTTGTGGGAAACTTGCTCCTAGTAGCGATGCCCTTTGCTCCTAGTAGCGATGCCCTTTGCTCCTAGTAGCGATGCCCTTTGCTCCTAGTAGCGATGCCCTTTGCTCCT